GAAGCTCACAGTAGTGAACGACTCTCGACTTGTTGGACTGCGCCTCGATCTGAAGCTGTCGCACGAGGCGCGAAAAGTTGTGTTCAGACTTCGTGTTGAGTAGCTTGCGGAGGGCCGTGGTGAATGTTGGGAGACTTAGGCTGGAAGTAATTTTGCCGTTGTTCAGGGTCTTATCCTCCCTTTCCATGGTTGTGACAACATCTGCGAGCATTGCAAGCTGATCAACTCGAACTTCTTCTGGTAGGCTACCATTGAGGATCTGGAGGAAAAGACGGCAATCAGAGTCAGCGATGTATCTCTCGAGAGAATCAAGCAAGTTGTAGCCCCATTCAATAGCTAGCGTATGCGAGGAAAAGCGAATGGAGAGATACTGGTAGAGGTAGTTTGAAAGTGGCTCGCGACTGCCGGTCTGGCTCTCAAACCTCTCTTTACCCACCCAGACATCATTGATCATGCGTTCTGTCTCACGCTTACTAAGGACCCAATTCTTGACATGACCTTCAATTCGCAGATAAGGGGGCACGTCATCAGATGTACCCCGACCAATGAAATGAATTCCAGGAGGAGTATAATATTCATTCAACATTGTCCTGTCCTCCGACTCAACCTCAATAGTCACAGTCTGTGTTGTTGGATGCTCATTGATGATGGATGCGTGGTGCTTCTTCATGTGATGGTGTGGACCATGCGTTTCCCTGTGTTTGGCATGTTCCCTGTTCTTTAAATGCCCCCCGCCCGCGTGCAACTTGCTTGCATCTTCACCCTTTGGGCTTAGCTCGTTGGCACCCCCAATTAGCTCATCGAACTTCATATCGCTGCTGCCCATCCCATTGGTTTCCTCTGAGACCACTTTTGCCGCTGCGGCATCTTTTGCTCGATTGGATTCTTCTGTTGGGACATCACGTGCCGAAGTATTTGATGCAAGCGCTCTATACCGAACCTGCAGTGCGCGATGTTGGGCCTGGGTGTGAGTATTCTCCTTGCGCATCGCTACAAGCTTCGTTTCAAGCTCCTTGAGTGCTTCGTTACCCTCGTCCTTTTTCCTCTCTTCGAGGTCTTGGGCAAGGGCGCGGAGGCGCTCTGTCTCTACTAAGGACTTTTCCAATGCCGACTTGTAATTCAACGCTTCGCTTCTTGTAGAGTTTTCCTGCAGAGCCCATCGCTCTCTCTCCTCCTCTAGCCGCCCGAGAGAGGTCGTGAGCATCGATGTTGCCCGTCGCAACTCTTCTGCTTCTTCATGGAGCCTCCGATAGGCAAGCGCCTCTTCTGCATTCCTCTCTCTCTCTCGGCGCTGATCCTCGTTGGCCACCACCAGGGCGCGCCGTAACGCTACAACATCGTCTCGCAGTTTCGCCACATTCATAGCCGCCGAGCTTTTGGCTGTCTCCATTGCTGTATCAGCTTTCAATTGAGCACCATCTGCACGAGCCCGCAATTCGGGTAATTCAGCGACACGCGCGGCGTACACACC